AGTGATCGAAAAGGAAATCTCTTAAAGGCCAGACATTTCTCTTCTCTTGGCTACGCTCCTAGTCGTTTCATTCGTCGCGTCGTAATGATATTCCACTTTGTTAACGCAAACTCGGTAGCCATGATCCGTTTCCACGCACCGGTGCGTTCCAGCTGCATTCAGCGTCGCGGCGATCGTCGTCGTCGTCGTCGTCGTCGTCGTGTTCATCGTCGTCGCTGGGAATCCAAGAACACGTCCAACGCGAGACTCGCGACTTTGGATGATGATAATGATCCTACCACGCGTAATCTTCGTATCGTTCGTAATCTCCCTTCCCGTCTTTTCTCTCTCCTTCTTTCTTCTTCTCTTTCATTCCCCCTTTCGAACGGTTGTAATTGTGACACGCGACACGGTCGATGAATCATCTAGGATTTTGAAACTTCGCGGGCTTAATTGTTCCTGATAGCGGCTGCCCGAGGACGTCGTCTCACGTCGATGAATCGTTGATGTTCCACCAGATTCGTGGCTGAATCGTTCTCACGATCGTAGTTTGCACAGACACAATTAGAAATGGAACGAAAATTCCTTTGACAACGACAGCTTTGTTTCTTCGTGTATGTAGGATCTAGTGATTTTTTATTAATCTCTGAGATCCGAGAGATCTGCGTGACAAGTATCTAAAATTTATTATTCGTGGAACGTGCAAATTAATCCTTGTCGAATCTTTCTCTTGCACAGTGCACTGTTGTTTCGTCCGGGAATTCTAAATTGTCCAAGGTCCAGTCGCGAAGGCTGCACCGTCGGGTTTCCGAAATCCAAGGCTACGCGATATGGAGAATTGGATCACGACGATGTGCAATGAAGTCGCAATCGCGAGAAGGACTGAGAGAGTAATCGTGCGGAACCGCGTCGATCGAATGAATCGCACGATTGTTACGATAGACTCGTTTGTACTCGTTCGAGAGATCGTTTGGTTTAAGGTTAAACGAAGAACCTCGACGTGTTTTCTTTTTTTTTTTTTTTTGTTTTATTGGTTTTATCGATTGGAAAGAATAAAGTTGGTCATTGATCGTATTGATACGCGTTGTTGAACAGATTTTTCATGTCCAATTAACCCTCGTTCGATTTGGATAGGATTGACACGTGGAAAGAATAATTAAAAGTATTGAACGAAGGAA